AGGGACGACCATGGCCACCCCAAGCTCGTTGATGCTTATGGCAGCCCACTCACCTTCAGGTGACTCTTTTGCCTTCATGTGATTTTGTGTTGCAAGGTTTTGTGCAGGGATTTTTTTAGAATTCTCAAAAACTCCACTGTCTTACAATTATTCGTCTGTTACTTTTCCTTGTTGTGCTTCAGTTTTGCCGCGTAAGGTGGCTTTACATAGAATCGCTCCGTGCGCCGAATCTAATTCGCAAAGTCGTTTGATTGCTGCTGCTCACTCTCACCCACTCGTTTCTTACCCATCTTGGGTATTCTCCCTATAACCCCCATCCATCCTCGCCCCACCCCTCCCAGTGACCGGGCATCAGAAGACCGTTTTCTCACCCGTTCTGCACTGCCTCCCCCATATCCCCCTCCTCCCATTCCCCCCCACCCTCCCTTCCCCCTTGTGGGCGGGCATTAGACGGGATGTTGACAGCCAAGCTGGAGATTGTTTTTTTACCCATATCCCATATCCCCTCCTCCCCCATATTCCCCCCTCCCCGCCTCCCCCATATCCCCCCTCCCCGCCTCCCTCATATCCCCCACCTCCCCCATACCCCCCGCCTCCCCCATACCCCCCGCCTCCCCCATATCCCCATCCTCCTATCCTCCCGCCTTCTCATCCCCCCCCCAGTGGGCGGGCGTCAGACGACATGCTGATAGCCAAGCTGGAAACGGTCTACACTGACTCGGGAGATAACGCCTCCTCGCAGGTACGCCTCCTCGCAGGTATGCATGTATGACTGAAGGGACAGTAGGGGGGTGTATCTGAGTTGGACTGCACCTGCTGAGGCAATCTCACCTTCCAAACTTCCAGTCGCTTCTCGCCCCCCACCTCCCTCCCCATCCATTCTCAGCCCATAACTCTCCCCATCCATTCTCAGCCCATAACTCTCCCCATCCATTCTCAGCCCATAACTCTCCCCATCCATTCTCAGCCCATAACTCTCCCCATCCATTCTCAGCCCATAACTCTCCCCATCCATTCTCAGCCCATAACTCTCCCCATCCATTCTCAGCCCATAACTCTCCCCATCCATTCTCAGCCCATAACTCTCCCCATCCATTCTCAGCCCATAACTCTCCCCATCCATTCTCAGCCCATAACTCTCCCCATCCATTCTCAGCCCATAACTCTCCCCATCCATTCTCAGCCCATAACTCTCCCCATCCATTCTCAGCCCATAACTCTCCCCATCCATTCTCAGCCCATAACTCTCCCCATCCATTCTCAGCCCATAACTCTCCCCATCCATTCTCAGCCCATAACTCTCCCCATCCATTCTCAGCCCATAACTCTCCCCATCCATTCTCAGCCCATAACTCTCCCCATCCATTCTCAGCCCATAACTCTCCCCATCCATTCTCAGCCCATAACTCTCCCCATCCATTCTCAGCCCATAACTCTCCCCATCCATTCTCAGCCCATAACTCTCCCCATCCATTCTCAGCCCATAACTCTCCCCATCCATTCTCAGCCCATAACTCTCCCCATCCATTCTCAGCCCATAACTCTCCCCATCCATTCTCAGCCCATAACTCTCCCCATCCATTCTCAGCCCATAACTCTCCCCATCCATTCTCAGCCCATAACTCTCCCCATCCATTCTCAGCCCATAACTCTCCCCATCCATTCTCAGCCCATAACTCTCCCCATCCATTCTCAGCCCATAACTCTCCCCATCCATTCTCAGCCCATAACTCTCCCCATCCATTCTCAGCCCATAACTCTCCCCATCCATTCTCTGCTCTCCCCCCGTATCTCTCCCTCATCTCTCTTCTCCTCCCCGAGGGGATGGCAGCTGTTGCTGAGCACAAGGCAGGCGATCCCCATCGCCCACCTGACTGCACCCACTCTCACCCTTCAAACCCTCCCAAAATGTCGTTCCGTGCTTTCCCCCCCTCTTCCCCGTTTTCGGCCCGTTTTCGGTTCGTGAACAGAGTAGGTCATCCCCATCGCCTGCTTGCCCGCACCCATCCCCCTCCTCCTCCGCTCCCATCGCTTCTCACCCTCTCCTCCACTCCCATCGCTTCTCACCCTCTCCTCCACTCCCATCGCTTCTCACCCCCTCCTCCCCTCCCGTCGCTTCTCACCCTCTCCTCCCCTCCCATCGTTTCTCAACCCCTCCTCCCCTCCCGTCGCTTCTCACCCCCTCCTCCCCTCCCCTCGCTTCCCACCCCCTCCTCCCCTCCCGTCGCTTCTCACTCCCTCCTCCCCTCCCATCGATTCTCACCCCCTCCTCCCCTCCCGTCGCTTCTCACTCTCTCCTCCCCTCCCGTCGCTTCTCACCCTCTCCTCCCCTCCCATCGTTTCTCAACCCCTCCTCCCCTCCCGTCGCTTCTCACCCCCTCCTCCCCTCCCCTCGCTTCCCACCCCCTCCTCCCCTCCCATCGCTTCTCACCCCTCGCAGCTCGTGCTGAGCTACCCAATCTCCCCCCGTCCCGTCTCCCTTCCCTTCAAACTTCCACCCCCCTCCCCCTCTCCTCCCTTCCTCAGATCGTGCTGAGCACGGAGCAGGCCATCCCCATCGCCCATTAGCCTATTCCCGGTCTCCCCCTACCCCCCTGTCCCTCTCCCCCCCCACCGCCCTTCCCCAGCTCGTGCTCAGCACGGAGCAGGCCATCCCCATCGGTCTACATCCCTTCCCTCCCAAACACCTCTCCGCTCCTTCCATAACTCCCGTCGCGTGCATTCCCTTCCCGCTCCCCCCCTCACAGCTCGTGCTGAGCACGGAGCAGGCCATCCCCATCGCGCCCGACTGGCTCTTCTTCAACCGCATCAACGCCCGAGCACGCAACGGCTTTAGGATCGGACATGCGCGACTCATCGGCAGGTGGGTTATTGGGTGGCAGGCAGGTGCGGCAGTGGGTGGCAGGTGGGGCAGTGGGTGGCAGGTGGGGCAGTGGGTGGCAGGTGGGGCAGTGGGTGGCAGGTGGGGCAGTGGGTGGCAGGTGGGTCATTGGGTGGCAGGTGGGGCAGTGGGTGGCAGGTGCGGCAGTGGGTGGCAGGTGGGGCAGTGGGTGGCAGGTGCGGCAGTGGGTGGCAGGTGGGTCATTGGGTGGCAGGTGGGGCAGTGGGTGGCAGGTCGGTCATTGGGTGGCAGGTGGGGCAGTGGGTGGCAGGTGGGTTGCTGGGTGCCTTTTGGGTCGACTCGAGAGCTGCCTCAAGTCACCACCACCACCGTCGTCTTCAAAGGCAACGAATTGAGGATCGGCCAGGCTCACCTCAATGGCAGGTGGGGAGCGGGGAGGGGGCATTGGCAGGGTGGTTTGTGGGCAGGGGGCGTGCCTGCTCAGGGGCAGGCAGAGCTGCTTCTAGTTGTTTGATTGCATGGCCTGATTGCATGGCCTGATTGCATGGCCTGATTGCATGGCCTGATTGCATGGCCATGGACTCAAGCTGGCACTATTCCGTACCGTACTGTACTGGCCCGACTGTTTTCATTCACCCTTATCCCATCCCCCACACTCGATGCTACCGGCAGTTTCCCCTCCCACACTCTCACGCTCGATGCCTGCGATGATTTTTATCTCCGTTACTATCCTGTGAGTCTGTGCATAGAGCACATGTTCATTACTAAAGGTGCAGCCCATGCCCTGTCACCAGTTCCTCGAGCGGCACGTTGATGGGGGACCTGCCGCCACATCCCTCTCACACTCCTGTTCCCATCCCCCTCTCCCCCACCCTCATCCCACCCACCCCGTGCCATCAGCTTCTCGGGCGGCACGGTGGTGGGCGACCTGGCGCCACACAAGGCATTCCCCATCGGCGTCCGAGACATTCAAATCGCCACCCTCACCCTCATCTACCCGACCCCCACCCACCCCACCCTGAACCTCACCCACCGCACCCTCAACCTCACCCACCGCACCCTCAACCTCACCCACCCCACCCTCACGCACACCCCCCCCCCCCCCCCCCCCCCCCCCCCCCCTTCCCCTCGTCATCAGCTTCTCAGGCGGCACGGTGGTGGGCGACCTGGCGCCACACGAGGCGTTCCCCATCGGCGGCACCAACAGCGTGCGCGGATACAACGAGGGCGCCGTGGGGTCGGGGCGATCCTACATCGTCACCAGTGGCGAGATCTCCTTCCCCATGGTACCTCCTTCCCCATGGTACCTCCTTCCCCATGGTACCTCCTTCCCCATGGTACCTCCTTCCCCATGGTACCTCCTTCCCCATGATACCTCCTTCCCCATGGTACCTCCTTCCCCATGGTACCTCCTTCCCCATGGTACCTCCTTCCCCATGGTACCTCCTTCCCCATGGTACCTCCTTCCCCATGGTACCTCCTTCCCCATGGTACCTCCTTCCCCATGATACCTCCTTCCCCATGGTACCTCCTTCCCCATGGTACCTCCTTCCCCATGGTACCTCCTTCCCCATGGTACCTCCTTCCCCATGGTACCTCCTTCCCCATGGTAAATCCTTCCCCATGGTACCTCCATCCCCATGGTACCTCCTTCCCCATGGTACCTCCTTCCCCATGGTACCTCATTCCCCATGGTATCCCTTTCCCCATGGTACCTCCTTCCCCATGGTACCTCCTTCCCCATGGTACCTCCTTCCCCATGGTATCTCCTTCCTTATGGTATCTCCTTCCCCATGGTATCTCCTTCCCCATGGTACCTCCTTCCCCATGGTATCTCCTTCCCCATGGTACCTCCTTCCCCATGGTACCTCCTTCCCCAAGGTACCTCCTTCCCCATGGTACCTCCTTCCCCATGGTACCTCCTTCCCCATGGTACCTCCTTCCCCATGATACCTCCTTCCCCATGGTACCTCCTTCCCCATGGTACCTCCTTCCCCATGGTACCTCCTTCCCCATGGTACCTCCTTCCCCATGGTATCTCCTTCCCCATGGTACCTCCTTCCCCATGGTACCTCCTTCCCCATGGTACCTCATTCCCCATGGTACCTCCATCCACATGGTACCTCCTTCCCCATGGTACCTCCTTCCCCATGGTACCTCATTCCCCATGGTATCCCTTTCCCCATGGTACCTCCTTCCCCATGGTACCTCCTTCCCCATGGTACCTCCTTCCCCATGGTATCTCCTTCCCCATGGTATCTCCTTCCCCATGGTACCTCCTTCCCCATGGTATCTCCTTCCCCATGGTACCTCCTTCCCCATGGTACCTCCTTCCCCATGGTACCTCCTTCCCCATGATACCTCCTTCCCCATGGTACCTCCTTCCCCATGGTACCTCCTTCCCCATGGTACCTCCTTCCCCATGGTACCTCCTTCCCCATGGTACCTCCTTCCCCATGGTACCTCCTTCCCCATGGTACCTCCTTCCCCATGATACCTCCTTCCCCATGGTACCTCCTTCCCCATGGTACCTCCTTCCCCATGGTACCTCCTTCCCCATGGTACCTCCTTCCCCATGGTACTCCTTCCCCATGGTACCTCCTTCCCCATGGTACCTCCTTCCCCATGGTACCTCCTTCCCCATGGTAAATCCTTCCCCATGGTACCTCCATCCCCATGGTACCTCCTTCCCCATGGTACCTCCTTCCCCATGGTACCTCCTTCCCCATGGTATCTCCTTCCTTATGGTATCTCCTTCCCCATGGTATCTCCTTCCCCATGGTACCTCCTTCCCCATGGTATCTCCTTCCCCATGGTACCTCCTTCCCCATGGTACCTCCTTCCCCATGGTACCTCCTTCCCCATGGTACCTCCTTCCCCATGGTACCTCCTTCCCCATGGTACCTCCTTCCCCATGATACCTCCTTCCCCATGGTACCTCCTTCCCCATGGTACCTCCTTCCCCATGGTACCTCCTTCCCCATGGTACCTCCTTCCCCATGGTACCTCCTACCCCATGGTATCTCCTTCCCCATGGTATCTCCTTCCCCATGGTACCTCCTTCCCCATGGTATCTCCTTCCCCATGGTACCTCCTTCCCCATGGTACCTCCTTCCCCATGGTATCTCCTTCCCCATGGTACCTCCTTCCCCATGGTATCTCCTTCCCCATGGTATCTCCTTCCCCATGGTATCTCCTTCCCCACGGTACCTCCTTCCCCATGGTACCTCCTTCCCCATGGTACCTCCTTCCCCATGGTACCTCCTTCCCCATGGTACCTCCTTCCCCATGGTATCTCCTTCCTCATGGTACCTCCTTCCCCATGGTATCTCCTTCCCCATCGTATCTCCATCCCCATGGTACCTCCTTCCCCATGGTATCTCCTTCCCCATGGTATCTCCTTCCCCATGGTACCTCCTTCCCCATGGTACCTCCTTCCCCATGGTATCTCCTTCCCCATGGTACCTGGTACCTCCTTCCCCATGGTACCTCCTTCCCCATGGTACCCCCTTCCCCATGGTACCCCCTTCCCCATGGTACCTCCTTCCCCATGGTATCTCCTTCCCCATGGTATCTCCTTCCCCATGGTACCTCCTTCCCCATGGTACCTCCTTCCCCATGGTACCTCCTTCCCCATGGTACCTCCTTCCCCATGGTACCTCCTTCCCCATGGTACCTCCTTCCCCATGGTATCTCCTTTCCCATGGTACCTCCTTCCCCATGGTACCTCCTTCCCCATGGTATCTCCTTTCCCATGGTATCTCCTTCCCCATTGTACCTCCTTCCCCATGGTACCTCCTTCCCCATGGTACCTCCTTCCCCATGGTACCTCCTTCCCCATGGTACCTCCTTCCCCATGATACCTCCTTCCCCATGGTACCCTCCTTCCCCATGGTACCTCCTTCCCCATGGTACCTCCTTCCCCATGGTACCTCCTTCCCCATGGTACCTCCTTCCCCATGATACCTCCTTCCCCATGGTACCTCCTTCCCCATGGTACCTCCTTCCCCATGGTACCTCCTTCCCCATGGTACCTCCTTCCCCATGGTATCTCCTTCCCCATGGTACCTCCTTCCCCATGGTACCTCCTTCCCCATGGTACCTCATTCCCCATGGTAAATCCTTCCCCATGGTACCTCCATCCACATGGTACCTCCTTCCCCATGGTACCTCCTTCCCCATGGTACCTCATTCCCCATGGTATCCCTTTCCCCATGGTACCTCCTTCCCCATGGTACCTCCTTCCCCATGGTACCTCCTTCCCCATGGTATCTCCTTCCCCATGGTATCTCCTTCCCCATGGTACCTCCTTCCCCATGGTATCTCCTTCCCCATGGTACCTCCTTCCCCATGGTACCTCCTTCCCCATGGTACCTCCTTCCCCATGATACCTCCTTCCCCATGGTACCTCCTTCCCCATGGTACCTCCTTCCCCATGGTACCTCCTTCCCCATGGTACCTCCTTCCCCATGGTACCTCCTTCCCCATGGTACCTCCTTCCCCATGGTACCTCCTTCCCCATGATACCTCCTTCCCCATGGTACCTCCTTCCTCATGGTACCTCCTTCCCCATGGTACCTCCTTCCCCATGGTACCTCCTTCCCATGGTACCTCCTTCCCCATGGTACCTCCTTCCCCATGGTACCTCCTTCCCCATGGTACCTCCTTCCCCATGGTAAATCCTTCCCCATGGTACCTCCATCCCCATGGTACCTCCTTCCCCATGGTACCTCCTTCCCATGGTACCTCCTTCCCCATGGTATCTCCTTCCTTATGGTATCTCCTTCCCCATGGTATCTCCTTCCCCATGGTACCTCCTTCCCCATGGTATCTCCTTCCCCATGGTACCTCCTTCCCCATGGTACCTCCTTCCCCATGGTACCTCCTTCCCCATGGTACCTCCTTCCCCATGGTACCTCCTTCCCCATGGTACCTCCTTCCCCATGATACCTCCTTCCCCATGGTACCTCCTTCCCCATGGTACCTCCTTCCCCATGGTACCTCCTTCCCCATGGTACCTCCTTCCCCATGGTACCTCCTACCCCATGGTATCTCCTTCCCCATGGTATCTCCTTCCCCATGGTACCTCCTTCCCCATGGTATCTCCTTCCCCATGGTACCTCCTTCCCCATGGTACCTCCTTCCCCATGGTATCTCCTTCCCCATGGTACCTCCTTCCCCATGGTATCTCCTTCCCCATGGTATCTCCTTCCCCATGGTATCTCCTTCCCCACGGTACCTCCTTCCCCATGGTACCTCCTTCCCCATGGTACCTCCTTCCCCATGGTACCTCCTTCCCCATGGTACCTCCTTCCCCATGGTATCTCCTTCCTCATGGTACCTCCTTCCCCATGGTATCTCCTTCCCCATCGTATCTCCATCCCCATGGTACCTCCTTCCCCATGGTATCTCCTTCCCCATGGTATCTCCTTCCCCATGGTACCTCCTTCTCCATGGTACCTCCTTCCCCATGGTATCTCCTTCCCCATGGTACCTGGTACCTCCTTCCCCATGGTACCTCCTTCCCCATGGTACCCCCTTCCCCATGGTACCCCCTTCCCCATGGTACCTCCTTCCCCATGGTATCTCCTTCCCCATGGTATCTCCTTCCCCATGGTACCTCCTTCCCCATGGTACCTCCTTCCCCATGGTACCTCCTTCCCCATGGTACCTCCTTCCCCATGGTACCTCCTTCCCCATGGTACCTCCTTCCCCATGGTATCTCCTTTCCCATGGTACCTCCTTCCCCATGGTACCTCCTTCCCCATGGTATCTCCTTTCCCATGGTATCTCCTTCCCCATTGTACTCCTTCCCCATGGTACCTCCTTCCCCATGGTACCTCCTTCCCCATGGTACCTCCTTCCCCATGGTACCTCCTTCCCCATGATACCTCCTTCCCCATGGTACCTCCTTCCCCATGGTACCTCCTTCCCCATGGTACCTCCTTCCCCATGGTACCTCCTTCCCCATGGTACCTCCTTCCCCATGGTACCTCCTTCCCCATGGTACCTCCTTCCCCATGATACCTCCTTCCCCATGGTACCTCCTTCCCCATGGTACCTCCTTCCCCATGGTACCTCCTTCCCCATGGTACCTCCTTCCCCATGGTACCTCCTTCCCCATGGTAAATCCTTCCCCATGGTACCTCCATCCCCATGGTACCTCCTTCCCCATGGTACCTCCTTCCCCATGGTACCTCATTCCCCATGGTATCCCTTTCCCCATGGTACCTCCTTCCCCATGGTACCTCCTTCCCCATGGTACCTCCTTCCCCATGGTATCTCCTTCCTTATGGTATCTCCTTCCCCATGGTATCTCCTTCCCCATGGTACCTCCTTCCCCATGGTATCTCCTTCCCCATGGTACCTCCTTCCCCATGGTACCTCCTTCCCCATGGTACCTCCTTCCCCATGGTACCTCCTTCCCCATGGTACCTCCTTCCCCATGGTACCTCCTTCCCCATGATACCTCCTTCCCCATGGTACCTCCTTCCCCATGGTACCTCCTTCCCCATGGTACCTCCTTCCCCATGGTACCTCCTTCCCCATGGTATCTCCTTCCCCATGGTACCTCCTTCCCCATGGTACCTCCTTCCCCATGGTACCTCATTCCCCATGGTAAATCCTTCCCCATGGTACCTCCATCCACATGGTACCTCCTTCCCCATGGTACCTCCTTCCCCATGGTACCTCATTCCCCATGGTATCCCTTTCCCCATGGTACCTCCTTCCCCATGGTACCTCCTTCCCCATGGTACCTCCTTCCCCATGGTATCTCCTTCCCCATGGTATCTCCTTCCCCATGGTACCTCCTTCCCCATGGTATCTCCTTCCCCATGGTACCTCCTTCCCCATGGTACCTCCTTCCCCATGGTACCTCCTTCCCCATGATACCTCCTTCCCCATGGTACCTCCTTCCCCATGGTACCTCCTTCCCCATGGTACCTCCTTCCCCATGGTACCTCCTTCCCCATGGTACCTCCTTCCCCATGGTACCTCCTTCCCCATGGTACCTCCTTCCCCATGATACCTCCTTCCCCATGGTACCTCCTTCCCCATGGTACCTCCTTCCCCATGGTACCTCCTTCCCCATGGTACCTCCTTCCCCATGGTACCTCCTTCCCCATGGTACCTCCTTCCCCATGGTACCTCCTTCCCCATGGTACCTCCTTCCCCATGGTAAATCCTTCCCCATGGTACCTCCATCCCCATGGTACCTCCTTCCCCATGGTACCTCCTTCCCCATGGTACCTCATTCCCCATGGTATCCCTTTCCCCATGGTACCTCCTTCCCCATGGTACCTCCTTCCCCATGGTACCTCCTTCCCCATGGTATCTCCTTCCTTATGGTATCTCCTTCCCCATGGTATCTCCTTCCCCATGGTACCTCCTTCCCCATGGTATCTCCTTCCCCATGGTACCTCCTTCCCCATGGTACCTCCTTCCCCATGGTACCTCCTTCCCCATGGTACCTCCTTCCCCATGGTACCTCCTTCCCCATGGTACCTCCTTCCCCATGATACCTCCTTCCCCATGGTACCTCCTTCCCCATGGTACCTCCTTCCCCATGGTACCTCCTTCCCCATGGTACCTCCTTCCCCATGGTACCTCCTACCCCATGGTATCTCCTTCCCCATGGTATCTCCTTCCCCATGGTACCTCCTTCCCCATGGTATCTCCTTCCCCATGGTACCTCCTTCCCCATGGTACCTCCTTCCCCATGGTATCTCCTTCCCCATGGTACCTCCTTCCCCATGGTATCTCCTTCCCCATGGTATCTCCTTCCCCATGGTATCTCCTTCCCCACGGTACCTCTCTCCTTCCCCATGGTACCTCCTACCCCATGGTACCTCCTTCCCCATGGTACCTCCTTCCCCATGGTACCTCCTTCCCCATGGTATCTCCTTCCTCATGGTACCTCCTTCCCCATGGTATCTCCTTCCCCATGGTATCTCCTTCCCCATGGTATCTCCTTCCCCACGGTACCTCCTACCCCATGGTACCTCCTACCCCATGGTACCTCCTTCCCCATGGTACCTCCTTCCCCATGGTACCTCCTTCCCCATGGTATCTCCTTCCTCATGGTACCTCCTTCCCCATGGTATCTCCTTCCCCATCGTATCTCCATCCCCATGGTACCTCCTTCCCCATGGTATCTCCTTCCCCATGGTATCTCCTTCCCCATGGTACCTCCTTCCCCATGGTACCTCCTTCCCCATGGTACCTCCTTCCCCATGGTACCTCCTTCCCCATGGTATCTCCTTCCTCATGGTACCTCCTTCCCCATGGTATCTCCTTCCCCATCGTATCTCCATCCCCATGGTACCTCCTTCCCCATGGTATCTCCTTCCCCATGGTATCTCCTTCCCCATGGTACCTCCTTCCCCATGGTACCTCCTTCCCCATGGTATCTCCTTCCCCATGGTACCTGGTACCTCCTTCCCCATGGTACCTCCTTCCCCATGGTACCCCCTTCCCCATGGTACCCCCTTCCCCATGGTACCTCCTTCCCCATGGTATCTCCTTCCCCATGGTATCTCCTTCCCCATGGTACCTCCTTCCCCATGGTACCTCCTTCCCCATGGTACCTCCTTCCCCATGGTACCTCCTTCCCCATGGTACCTCCTTCCCCATGGTACCTCCTTCCCCATGGTACCTCCTTCCCCATGGTACCTCCTTCCCCATGGTACCTCCTTCCCCATGGTACCTCCTTCCCCATGGTACCTCCTTCCCCATGGTACCTCCTTCCCCATGGTACCTCCTTCCCCATGGTACCTCCTTCCCCATGGTATCTCCTTTCCCATGGTACCTCCTTCCCCATGGTACCTCCTTCCCCATGGTATCTCCTTTCCCATGGTATCTCCTTCCCCATTGTACCTCCTTCCCCATGGTACCTCCTTCCCCATGGTACCTCCTTCCCCATGGTACCTCCTTCCCCATGGTACCTCCTTCCCCATGATACCTCCTTCCCCATGGTACCTCCTTCCCCATGGTACCTCCTTCCCCATGGTACCTCCTTCCCCATGGTACCTCCTTCCCCATGGTACCTCCTTCCCCATGGTACCTCCTTCCCCATGGTACCTCCTTCCCCATGATACCTCCTTCCCCATGGTACCTCCTTCCCCATGGTACCTCCTTCCCCATGGTACCTCCTTCCCCATGGTACCTCCTTCCCCATGGTACCTCCTTCCCCATGGTAAATCCTTCCCCATGGTACCTCCATCCCCATGGTACCTCCTTCCCCATGGTACCTCCTTCCCCATGGTACCTCATTCCCCATGGTATCCCTTTCCCCATGGTACCTCCTTCCCCATGGTACCTCCTTCCCCATGGTACCTCCTTCCCCATGGTATCTCCTTCCTTATGGTATCTCCTTCCCCATGGTATCTCCTTCCCCATGGTACCTCCTTCCCCATGGTATCTCCTTCCCCATGGTACCTCCTTCCCCATGGTACCTCCTTCCCCATGGTACCTCCTTCCCCATGGTACCTCCTTCCCCATGGTACCTCCTTCCCCATGGTACCTCCTTCCCCATGATACCTCCTTCCCCATGGTACCTCCTTCCCCATGGTACCTCCTTCCCCATGGTACCTCCTTCCCCATGGTACCTCCTTCCCCATGGTATCTCCTTCCCCATGGTACCTCCTTCCCCATGGTACCTCCTTCCCCATGGTACCTCATTCCCCATGGTAAATCCTTCCCCATGGTACCTCCATCCACATGGTACCTCCTTCCCCATGGTACCTCCTTCCCCATGGTACCTCATTCCCCATGGTATCCCTTTCCCCATGGTACCTCCTTCCCCATGGTACCTCCTTCCCCATGGTACCTCCTTCCCCATGGTATCTCCTTCCCCATGGTATCTCCTTCCCCATGGTACCTCCTTCCCCATGGTATCTCCTTCCCCATGGTACCTCCTTCCCCATGGTACCTCCTTCCCCATGGTACCTCCTTCCCCATGATACCTCCTTCCCCATGGTACCTCCTTCCCCATGGTACCTCCTTCCCCATGGTACCTCCTTCCCCATGGTATCTCCTTTCCCATGGTACCTCCTTCCCCATGGTACCTCCTTCCCCATGGTATCTCCTTTCCCATGGTATCTCCTTCCCCATTGTACCTCCTTCCCCATGGTACCTCCTTCCCCATGGTACCTCCTTTCCCATGGTATCTCCTTCCCCATGGTACCTCCTTCCCCATGGTATCTTCTTCCCCATGGTATCTCCTTCCCCATGGTACCTCCTTCCCCATGGTACCTCCTTCCCCATGGTACCTCCATCCCCATGGTACCTCCTTCCCCATGGTATCTCCTTCCCCATCGTACCTCCTTCCCCATGGTACCTCCTTCCCCATGGTACCTCCTTCCCCATGGTATCTTCTTCCCCATGGTATCTCCTTCCCCATGGTACCTCCTTCCCCATGGTACCTCCTTCCCCATGGTACCTCCTTCCCCATGGTACCTCCTTCCCCATGGTATCTCCTTCCCCATCGTACCTCCTTCCTCATGGTATCTCCTTCCCCATGGTACCTCCTTCACCATGGTATCTCCTTTCCCATGGTACCTCCTTCCCCATGGTACCTCCTTCCCCATGGTATCTCCTTCCCCATGGTATCTCCTTCCCCATGGTACCTCCTTCCCCATGGTACCTCCTTCCCCATGGTACCTCCTTCCCCATGGTATCTCCTTCCCCATGGTACCTCCTTCCCCATGGTATCTCCTTCCCCATGGTATCTCCTTCCCCATGGTACCTCCTTCCCCATGGTACCTCCTTCCCCATGGTACCTCCTTCCCCATGGTACCTCCTTCCCCATGGTACCTCCTTCCCCATGGTACCTCCTTCCCCATGGTACCCCCTTCCCATGGTACCCCCTTCCCCATGGTAGCTCCTTCCCCATGGTATCTCCTTCCCCATGGTACCTCCTTCCCCATGGTACCTCCTTCCCCATGGTACCTCCTTCCCCATGGTATCTCCTTCCCCATGGTATCTCCTTCCTTATGGTACCTCCTTCCCCATGGTACCTCCTTCCCCATGGTACCTCCTTCCCCATGGTATCTCCTTCCCCATGGTACCTCCTTCCCCATGGTATCTTCTTCCCCATGGTATCTCCTTCCCCATGGTACCTCCTTCCCCATGGTACCTCCTTCCCCATGGTACCTCCTTCCCCATGGTACCTCCTTCCCCATGGTATCTCCTTCCCCATCGTACCTCCTTCCCCATGGTACCTCCTTCCCCATGGTACCTCCTTCCCCATGGTACCTCCTTCCCCATGGTATCTTCTTCCCCATGGTATCTCCTTCCCCATGGTACCTCCTTCCCCATGGTACCTCCTTCCCCATGGTACCTCCTTCCCCATGGTACCTCCTTCCCCATGGTATCTCCTTCCCCATCGTACCTTCTTCCTCATGGTATCTCCTTCCCCATGGTACCTCCTTCACCATGGTATCTCCTTTCCCATGGTACCTCCTTCCCCATGGTACCTCCTTCCCCATGGTATCTCCTTCCCCATGGTATCTCCTTCCCCATGGTTCCTCCTTCCCCATGGTACGTCCTTCCCCATGGTACCTCCTTCCCCATGGTATCTCCTTCCCCATGGTACCTCCTTCCCCATGGTATCTCCTTCCCCATGGTATCTCCTTCCCCTTGGTACCTCCTTCCCCATGGTACCTCCTTCCCCATGGTACCTCCTTCCCCATGGTACCTCCTTCCCCATGGTACCTCCTTCCCCATGGTACCTCCTTCCCCATGGTACCCCCTTCCCCATGGTACCCCCTTCCCCATGGTAGCTCCTTCCCCATGGTATCTCCTTCCCCATGGTACCTCCTTCCCCATGGTACCTCCTTCCCCATGATACCTCCTTCCCCATGGTACCTCCTTCCCCATGGTATCTCCTTCCCCATGGTACCTCCTTCCCCATGGTATCTTCTTCCCCATGGTATCTCCTTCCCCATGGTACCTCCTTCCCCATGGTACCTCCTTCCCCATTGTACCTCCTTCCCCATGGTACCTCCTTCCCCATGGTATCTCCTTCCCCATCGTACCTCCTTCCCCATGGTACCTCCTTCCCCATGGTACCTCCTTCCCCATGGTACCTCCTTCACCATGGTATCTCCTTTCCCATGGTACCTCCTTCCCCATGGTACCTCCTTCCCCATGGTATCTCCTTCCCCATGGTATCTCCTTCCCCATGGTACCTCCTTCCCCATGGTACCTCCTTCCCCATGGTACCTCCTTCCCCATGGTATCTCCTTCCCCATGGTACCTCCTTCCCCATGGTATCTCCTTCCCCATGGTATCTCCTTCCCCATGGTACCTCCTTCCCCATGGTACCTCCTTCCCCATGGTACCTCCTTCCCCATGGTACCTCCTTCCCCATGGTATCTCCTTTCCCATGGTATCTCCTTCCCCATGGTACCTCCTTCCCCATGGTACCTCCTTCCCCATGGTACCTCCTTCCCCATGGTACCTCCTTCCCCATGGTATCTCCTTTCCCATGGTACCTCCTTCCCCATGGTACCTCCTTCCCCATGGTATCTCCTTTCCCATGGTATCTCCTTCCCCATTGTACCTCCTTCCCCATGGTACCTCCTTCCCCATGGTACCTCCTTTCCCATGGTATCTCCTTCCCCATGGTACCTCCTTCCCCATGGTATCTTCTTCCCCATGGTATCTCCTTCCCCATGGTACCTCCTTCCCCATGGTACCTCCTTCCCCATGGTACCTCCTTCCCCATGGTACCTCCTTCCCCATGGTATCTCCTTCCCCATCGTACCTCCTTCCCCATGGTACCTCCTTCCCCATGGTACCTCCTTCCCCATGGTATCTTCTTCCCCATGGTATCTCCTTCCCCATGGTACCTCCTTCCCCATGGTACCTCCTTCCCCATGGCACCTCCTTCCCCATGGTACCTCCTTCCCCATGGTATCTCCTTCCCCATCGTACCTCCTTCCTCATGGTATCTCCTTCCCCATGGTACCTCCTTCACCATGGTATCTCCTTTCCCATGGTACCTCCTTCCCCATGGTACCTCCTTCCCCATGGTATCTCCTTCCCCATGGTATCTCCTTCCCCATGGTACCTCCTTCCCCATGGTACCTCCTTCCCCATGGTACCTCCTTCCCCATGGTATCTCCTTCCCCATGGTACCTCCTTCCCCATGGTATCTCCTTCCCCATGGTATCTCCTTCCCCATGGTACCTCCTTCCCCATGGTACCTCCTTCCCCATGGTACCTCCTTCCCCATGGTACCTCCTTCCCCATGGTACCCCCTTCCCCATGGTACCCCCTTCCCCATGGTAGCTCCTTCCCCATGGTATCTCCTTCCCCCATGGTACCTCCTTCCCCATGGTACCTCCTTCCCCATGATACCTCCTTCCCCATGGTACCTCCTTCCCCATGGTATCTCCTTCCCCATGGTACCTCCTTCCCCATGGTATCTTCTTCCCCATGGTATCTCCTTCCCCATGGTACCTCCTTCCCCATGGTACCTCCTTCCCCATTGTACCTCCTTCCCCATGGTACCTCCTTCCCCATGGTATCTCCTTCCCCATCGTACCTCCTTCCCCATGGTACCTCCTTCCCCATGGTACCTCCTTCCCCATGGTACCTCCTTCACCATGGTATCTCCTTTCCCATGGTACCTCCTTCCCCATGGTACCTCCTTCCCCATGGTATCTCCTTCCCCATGGTATCTCCTTCCCCATGGTACCTCCTTCCCCATGGTACCTCCTTCCCCATGGTACCTCCTTCCCCATGGTATCTCCTTCCCCATGGTACCTCCTTCCCCATGGTATCTCCTTCCCCATGGTACCTCCTTCCCCATGGTACCTCCTTCCCCATGGTACCTCCTTCCCCATGGTACCTCCTTCCCCATGGTACCTCCTTCCCCATGGTACCTCCTTCCCCATGGTACCCCCTTCCCCATGGTACCCCCTTCCCCATGGTAGCTCCTTCCCCATGGTATCTCCTTCCCCATGGTACCTCCTTCCCCATGGTACCTCCTTCCCCATGGTATCTCCTTCCCCATGGTATCTCCTTCCCCATGGTACCTCCTTCCCCATGGTACCTCCTTCCCCATGGTACCTCCTTCCCCATGGTACCTCCTTCCCCATGGTACCTCCTTCCCCATGGTACCTCCTTCCCCATGGTATCTCCTTCCCCATGGTATCTCCTTCCCCATGGTATCTCCTTCCCCATGGTATCTCCTTCCCCATGGTACCTCCTTCCCCATGGTACCTCCTTCCCCATGGTACCTCCTTCCCCATGGTATCTCCTTCCCCATGGTACCTCCTTCCCCATGGTATCTCCTTCCCCATGGTATCTCCTTCCCCATGGTACCTCCTTCCCCATGGTACCTCCTTCCCCATGGTACCTCCTTCCCCATGGTACCTCCTTCCCCATGGTACCTCCTTCCCCATGGTACCTCCTTCCCCATTGTATCTCCTTCCCCATGGTACCTCCTTCCCCATGGTACCTCCTTCCCCATGGTACCTCCTTCCCCATGGTACCTCCTTCCCCATGGTACCTCCTTCCCCATGGTACCTCCTTCCCCATGGTACCCCCTTCCCCATGGTACCCCCTTCCCCATGGTAGCTCCTTCCCCATGGTATCTCCTTCCCCATGGTACCTCCTTCCCCATGGTACCTCCTTCCCCATGGTATCTCCTTCCCCATGGTATCTCCTTCCCCATGGTACCTCCTTCCCCATGGTACCTCCTTCCCCATGGTACCTCCTTCCCCATGGTATCTCCTTCCCCATGGTACCTCCTTCCCCATGGTATCTCCTTCCCCATGGTATCTCCTTCCCCATGGTACCTCCTTCCCCATGGTACCTCCTTCCCCATGGTACCTCCTTCCCCATGGTACCTCCTTCCCCATGGTACCTCCTTCCCCATGGTACCTCCTTCCCCATGGTATCTCCTTCCCCATGGTATCTCCTTCCCCATGGTACCTCCTTCCCCATGGTACCTCCTTCCCCATGGTACCTCCTTCCCCATGGTACCTCCTTCCCCATGGTATCTCCTTCCCCATCGTACCTCCTTCCTCATGGTATCTCCTTTCCCATGGTACCTCCTTCCCCATGGTACCCCCTTCCCCATGGTAGCTCCTTCCCCATGGTATCTCCTTCCCCATGGTACCTCCTTCCCCATGGTACCTCCTTCCCCATGGTATCTCCTTCCCCATGGTATCTCCTTCCCCATGGTACCTCCTTCCCCATGGTACCTCCTTCCCCATGGTACCTCCTTCCCCATGGTACCTCCTTCCCCATGGTACCTCCTTCCCCATGGTATCTCCTTCCCCATGGTATCTCCTTCCTTATGGTACCTCCTTCCCCATGGTACCTCCTTCCCCATGGTACCTCCTTCCCCATGGTATCTCCTTCCCCATGGTACCTCCTTCCCCATGGTATCTTCTTCCCCATGGTATCTCCTTCCCCATGGTACCTCCTTCCCCATGGTACCTCCTCCCCATGGTACCTCCTTCCCCATGGTACCTCCTTCCCCATGGTACCTCCTTCCCCATCGTACCTCCTTCCCCATGGTACCTCCTTCCCCATGGTACCTCCTTCCCCATGGTATCTTCTTCCCCATGGTATCTCCTTCCCCATGGTACCTCCTTCCCCATGGTACCTCCTTCCCCACGGTACCTCCTTTCCCATGGTACCTCCTTCCCCATGGTATCTCCTTCCCCATGGTATCTCCTTCCCCATGGTATCTCCTTCCCCATGGTACCTCCTTCCCCAGGTACCTCCTTCCCCATGGTACCTCCTTCCCCATGGTACCTCCTTCCCCATGGTACCCTTCCCCATGGTACCTCCTTCCCCATGGTACCCCCTTCCCCATGGTACCCCCTTCCCCATGGTAGCTCCTTCCCCATGGTATCTCCTTCCCCATGGTACCTCCTTCCCCATGGTACCTCCTTCCCCATGATACCTCCTTCCCCATGGTATCTCCTTCCCCATGGTACCTCCTTCCCCATGGTATCTTCTTCCCCATGGTATCTCCTTCCCCATGGTACCTCCTTCCCCATGGTACCTCCTTCCCCATTGTACCTCCTTCCCCATGGTACCTCCTTCCCCATGGTATCTCCTTCCCCATCGTACCTCCTTCCCCATGGTACCTCCTTCCCCATGGTACCTCCTTCACCATGGTATCTCCTTTCCCATGGTACCTCCTTCCCCATGGTACCTCCTTCCCCATGGTATCTCCTTCCCCATGGTATCTCCTTCCCCATGGTACCTCCTTCCCCATGGTACCTCCTTCCCCATGGTACCTCGTTCCCCATGGTATCTCCTTCCCAATGGTACCTCCTTCCCCATGGTATCTCCTTCCCCATGGTATCTCCTTCCCCATGGTACCTCCTTCCCCATGGTACCTCCTTCCCCATGGTACCTCCTTCCCCATGGTACCTCCTTCCCCATGGTACCTCCTTCCCCATGGTACCTCCTTCCCCATGGTATCTCCTTCCCCATGGTATCTCCTTCCCCATGGTACCTCCTTCCCCATGGTACCTCCTTCCCCATGGTATCTCCTTCCCCATGGTATCTCCTTCCCCATGGTACCTCCTTCCCCATGGTACCTCCTTCCCCATGGTACCTCCTTCCCCATGGTACCTCCTTCCCCATGGTACCTCCTTCCCCATGGTACCTCCTTCCCCATTGTATCTCCTTCCTCATGGTACCCCCTTCCCCATGGTACCTCCTTCCCCATGGTATCTCCTTCCCCATGGTATCTCCTTCCCCATGGTATCTCCTTCCCCTTGGTATCTCCTTCCCCACGGTACCTCCTTCCCCATGGTACCTCCTTCCCCATGGTACCACCTTCCCCATAATACCTCCTTCCCCATGGTATCTCCTTCCCCATGGTACCTCCTTCCCCATGGTACCTCCTTCCCCATGGTACCTCCTTCCCCATGGTACCTCCTTCCCCATGGTACCTCCTTCCCCATGGTACCTCCTTCGCCATGGTATCACCTTCCCCATGGTACCTCCTTCCCCATGGTACCTCCTTCCCCATGGTACCTCCTTCCCCATGGTACCCCCTTCCCCATGGTACCCCCTTCCCCATGGTACCTCCTTCCCCATGGTATCTCCTTCCCCATGGTACCTCCTTCCCCATGGTACCTCCTTCCCCATGGTATCTCCTTCCCCATGGTACCTCCTTCCCCATGGTACCTCCTTCCCCATGGTACCTCCTTCCCCATGGTACCTCCTTCCCCATGGTACCTCCTTCCCCATGGTATCACCTTCCCCATGGTATCTCCTTCCCCATGGTACCCCCTTCCCCATGGTACCTCCTTCCCCATGGTACCTCCTTCCCCATGGTATCTCCTTCCCCATGGTACCTCCTTCCCCATGGTACCTCCTTCCCCATGGTACCTCCTTCCCCATGGTACCTCCTTCCCCATGGTACCTCCTTCCCCATGGTACCTCCTTCCCCATGGTACCTCCTTCCCCATGGTACCTCCTTCCCCATGGTACCTCCTTCCCCATGGTACCTCCTTCCCCATGGTACCTCCTTCCCCATGGTACCTCCTTCCCCATGGTATCTCCTTCCCCATGGTACCTCCTTCCCCATGGTACCTCCTTCTCCATGGTACCTCCTTCCCCATGGTACCTCCTTCCCCATGGTACCTCCTTCCCCATGGTACCTCCTTCCCCATGGTACCTCCTTCCCCATGGTACCTCCTTCCCCATGGTACCTCCTTCCCCATGGTACCTCCTTCCCCATTGTATCTCCTTCCCCATGGTACCCCCTTCCCCATGGTACCTCCTTCCCCATGGTACCTCCTTCCCCGTGGTACCTCCTTCCCCATGGTATCCCTTTCCTCTCCGCCCCCTTGTGCCTCCCATCTTGTTCCCCTGGTCTTTTCCTACCGCTGGTACCTCCATCTCCTTTCCCGTATCCCTCGCCTCTTAATCCCTGGCAGATGTGGTACACATGAATGTAAAGAGACCATATACTCTACCCAAATAATGGGCTCCGTCCCTTGTTTTTCAGTAGCATTGTGATGCACCCCGCGTCCGCACATTCCATTCCATTCCTCACTCAACCTTATAACCGAGAACCGAATAAGCTGTTGTGCTTTTGCCACTTAGGCGTAGCTGTGCTTTCATCTTCCCAGCAAGTTCCTTGCTGGCTGGGCTGCTCATTCATCACCAGGGAGTGACTTCCCCGCGCGACTGTCAGCCATTCCGCCCATGCTTCCTGCAGCACCCATCACCATCACACCCTCATTTCCCGTCATCCCATTTCCTCCATCACTCGCCCACTCCCCCCCCCCCTTCCCTGCACGCCACCTGCAGTTCGGCCCACTGGAGGGCGCATTCTTTGCCGACTATGGCACGGATTTAGGCTCGGGAGCCACTGTGCTAGGTACGGTAATGGTTCTGTTGGTGAGAGAATGCCGGAGGGTCAGCAAAGGTTGTTAGTTGTAAGCACTCGCAGTTTAGGCAATAATCTTCCAGTTGTGACTACACAGATGCTCTTAAATCGCCTGCTGATGCGAATGCACAGTTTATATGCTTTTTCTCTCTGCATACTTCCTGTTTTCCCATTTCCCCTCATCTTGTGTCATGCGTATCACCTTCATCTAAACCCCTCTCCCTTCCCCAGGCGACCCAACAGGGACGTGTGGCAAGCCAGGGAGGGGCTGGCACATAGCATTGCAAAAGAAAAAAGAAAGAAAGAAAAAAAAAAACAGACGAATCCCATCTCCCCATCTCATTAATATTACCATCATTCGAACCCCTCTGCCTTTTTCAGGCGACCCAGCAGGGGCGCGGGGCAAACCAGGGAGGGGCTTTGGGCTGGGCGCAGGGGTGCGGGTGGACTCACCACTGGGCCCTCTGCGCCTGGAGTATGCCTTCAACGACCAGAAGATCCCTCGCTTCCACTTTGGCATCGGCTACCGCAACTAGAGCAGCGCATGTAAAGTCACTGTAGCGTCTTCACAAGCGGGCACTGATTGCCATTGTATGAGTTGGCGGGTCCGCTGCGCCTTCAGTACGCGTTCAACTTAACGACCAGAAGATCCCGCGCTTCCACTTTGGCATTGGCCACCACAACTAGGGCAGCGCAGCAGGGTTTTAACATCGCTGTTGCGAGGTCTGGATGGATGGAGTTGAGGATGTGAACTCATTAGCGCCACGAGTTAGGAGCATGAGGTGTAGGGGTTGGGACAAAAGTTGCTTCCTCAGAATCAAAGTTGGAATATATTGTCGAGAACAGAAGGATGGTTTGACTAAGGTTGGTTGGGGTACATAAAACCTAACCGTAACTATTGTACCCCATATAACACACATCACTAACGTACATATGGTTGCGTACAAACAAAGCAAGCAGAGAACTCAAGACTACGCAAGGCGAGAACCTGTGTCAACGAGACCTAACTGCACACAACACCTCTAGTGGTCACAAGACGGAAGCGCCTTGGTGAAGATGTCTGCAGTGTTGGCCTCGGACTCCACAAAGTCGAAGCAAGCATGTCCACGCCTCTGCAACTCTCGTGGAAGAAAGTACCTGACGTTGATGTGCTTCACTCTGCTCTCCAGTCGCGGCTCTCGACATAGGAGTGTTGGAAACAATCGGTCTTAAGCGCCTCTGTCGTGTCGAAACACTAAGGCATAAATGAGGCAGAGCATATCGAAGCACCGGCGAGTCAACCCTCGGAGGTTGAAGTAACCGCTGGAGGTTACGGGAAGTCAAAGGCCAGCGACCTTTGACCTGACGAATACAGCGCGACAGCAAGGACACACAACCGACTCGCTACAGAGCAGTTGCCCGAGTCGTCACTGTATCGAACCGCAACAGCAACAGTAAAGTAGTTACAACCGTACCTCTTCGTATTCCTTGTACTCTTATATATATATTCTTGTATCTCTTTGTTTTAATCAACTTACTTTGCCCTCACATACTAGCGCAAGGTGGTTCACAACTCTTCAATTAAACGCTTCCGCTACTACAGCAACTCTACCCAGAGTTCACCCCTGCAAAGATCCTAAGGCCCTTTATCAACCGAACATGGTATGAGAGCTATCAGGGGGAATTCAACTTCTATATCGTCAACATCAACAGACATGGCTACACAAAAGGAAAGGAGCAACTCCAACGGCTCCCAGGGCACTACTCCTACTCCACCTCCTGCCTCTGGCCTACAGACAGAGGAGGGCACGGCAACAAGACCCAGAGCAACATCTACCGAGACTCCCGCGAATCAACCTGCAAACTTCGACCAGAACATGATGGAGAAGTTCTTCTCCTTCATGTCCTTCTACGAGCAACACCAGCAATCGGCACCTGCGCAGTCACACAACAGCAACAACAACGGAGCAACACCCATGAGTCTCGACGGCTCATCATATGCACGAGGAAATCAACAACAGCAGCCTACCTTCGCTCCGTACGAACGCGGGTCCATCAGCTTTATGCCACACCCGCAGCCTTCACCTGGACAAGAAAAATCACTGGACGCATTACAAGTTCAGTCGCAGTTCGCACACGTTCTGAAGATGCAGACATCAAGACCATTCGACGGAAAGGACTTCTTCACCTGGTCGTTTGAATTCGAGCTGATGATGGAAGGCGCGCAGATACTTGGCTTCTTCGACGGGTCCCTGCCATACCCAACAAACGGCACACAGTACGAGAAGCAGCAGTACACCTATCAGTCAATGATGGCGTACACGATTCTACTGAGGAACATCACCCCGACTCAACAGCAGAACATACGATCTTACCGGGGTTACGGTAACTCCGCGGAGCTCGCGTACAACCACCTGAAGAGCCTGTATCAAGCAACAGACAGCGTAAGTCAAAGTCGGTTAATGGCGCAACTGACAACAGTTGAAATGAAACCGGGAGAAAAGAGGATGGCATATATCAGCCGCTGTCGCGAACTGCGCGACAAGCTCCTTCGATGCGGAGGGTCGATTTCTGAAGACGCCTTCGTGACAGTCATCATCGGCGGCCTCGGTCCTCAATGGCGCGCCACAAAGGCTATTCTCCGAGCACATGGAAGAATCTCCGAAGCAGCACTCTGCGTCGAAATCCACGCCGAGCAACAAGACATGGACCTGCAAGAAGAACGACGCAAAAAGCAGACATCAGCACCGGAATTCGCGTTCCACACTCAGCGACGCTACAACAACAACAACAACCGGCAGCAACAACCGAAGCCAGTACCTCCGTTCTGCCACATCTGCAAAACTTCAGGACACCCGCGTACGCACTGCCCAAATCGTCAACAGTCAACAACTCCACAGCGACAATTTCGACCTTCAAGCAGCCAAGTTGCCTCAACGCAAGCGAATTCCACGACCCAGATTCAAGCCTCAACGACTTCAACGGGACAACCTGCACAAGGAGCAAGAAACATCGTCAGCTGCATGGCAAAGCTGAGTGACTCCTGCATCACCGAGTCACCACCACATTACTCACCAGAAGAACAACTCGACGAAACCACACCCCGCCGCGAGTCACTTCAGCCGAACCCGACGTACGCCGCCATCGCCCAAAGCGAGCCATCCGGGAAAGACACTTGGTTCCTGGATAGCTGCTGTGGACAGCACATGAGCTCCTCGGGACGCTTCGTTCAACGAGAACACCAACTTCAACGCGAAGTCGTCATTACAGTCGCCAACAATCAGAACCTGCGAACACGACGACAAGGCATAGTTCAACTTCAGTTAAGGGAAACAAACGTTATACTGCAGATGTCAAAAGTACTAATCGCGGAGGGACTCGGCTACAACTTACTGAGCGTCAGCCAGCTAATGGCGAAAGGGATTCACCTCAAAGCAGACAGCACCACCCTAGAATTCAAGCTGTATCACGGGAGAGGAGGACTTTACATCGGCAAGGCGGTCCTCAAGAACAACGTCTTCGTTCTTGACTTCGTTCCTGATCTTGGCACCGCCGACAGCGACGCCATCGTTAACTTCACCAACTGGACACACCCTCCAGACCTTGATCCAGACTTCAGTCCTGGCGGTTTCTGGTATTCACACACCATCCCTGAGGCAGAAAGAACAAGGGCGTTAGCAACAATTCAGACAACATCGGCAGCAGAAGAAACAACATCGGCAGCAGCAGAGACAACATCGGCAGCAGCAGAAACATCAACGGCAGCAGCAACGTCAACACCAATCGCTGGTCCTTCAACGGCACCGCCCCTCATCGACGACACACCACCGACACCTGCGCAACAACTACACCCAGCACCACGAGAAGTTCATCGTAGCGCCAACTTCACCGCCAACTTCTATTCCAACTCCGATCTGTATCGACGATCACCCGGACATCGCGCCGACGAAAGCACCTGGCACGCAAGGATGGGACACCCAAGCAACACAGTGTTAAACAATACGATAAGAGCAGGAGTACTCGACAAGGACTCACTTCTACTGACCGACGGAAGAGAACTTCAACGAGTACGCGGAACGTGCTTCACCTGCCCTGAAGCTGACTTACCACATCGACAGTTCGCGTCTCACCACAACCCAAGCGCACCAGCTTACGCGCCACTCGAGAAGGTGTACAGCGACATCCTGTACAATCGCGAGCCGGGGCAGAACGCGTACAACTACACCATCACGTTCATCGACGCCGCGACACGTTACGTCTGGCACCTGAATCTTCCAAGCAAAGACATGGCGTTCGAAGCGTTCGTCGCGTGGCTTCCAGTAGCAGAGCGAGAATCGGGCGTCAAGCTGAAAAGCTTTCAGTCAGACGGGGGAGGAGAATACACCTCACAAAGGTTCAAGCAGTACCTGGCAGAGAGAGGAATCAAGCGACTCATTTCCCTTCCCTACGCCCATCAACAGCAGGGTGTAGCAGAGAGGATGAACAGGACACTCCAGAACACCATGCGGAAACTGTTACGTGGCATGCGGCTACCCACCCACCAGTGGCCAGAAGCAATGGACCACGCCGTGATGCTGCACAACTTGCTTTCTTCGTCGTCACTGCTTAACAACACATCACCGCATCTGTTGTGGACAGGAAAACTGGGCTACGAGTCTTCGGCTGCATGGTACAGTACCGACCTCCATCTGCACGAGCAGGACGATTCTCCCAACGGGCACAGTGGGGACTACACCTGGGCATTGAAAAACACTACAACGCATGGAAGATTTTCGACGTCGAGACAAAAGAAACAGTGGCAGCACGTGATGTCATCTTCTACGAGCGGCTCACCTTGCGAACGTACCTTGCCAACCTGGACGAAAACCAAGACCCCACAGGTGGCTTCCGAGGAGACCGAGCCTTCGCTTCGGCAGAAGACGAAGCTGACTGGGACGAGCAGAACGTGGAAGGAGCCTCGGAAGAAGCCGGACCCCTCCCGTACGGTTCCGTCGATGTCCCAATGGATGACGAAAATCCACGCGAAAGTAACAACGCCGAAGTCTTTTACCACTTCGCCGACAACGGTTACGTTACACCTGCACAAGTCAACACCGACGAAGCAGAACGTGTAGGACCTAATTTCGCACCTGATCAAGAAGCGGGAGACGAAGCAGTTTATCCAGAGGACACTTCACTCCCCCGCTACACACAGAGTGGGCTCCAAATCCTTGGACTCGTTACCGCAGTCCACGGCACCGCCATTCCTAAAGAGCCTGCGACAGTTCAACAGGCTCTGGGGGGGGAGCATAAGGAAAAATGGCGCGAAGCCATGGACAAGGAGCTGAAGGCACTGGAGGATCGCAACACGTGGAAAGTGGTTCCTATCGGCGTGGCACGAAACAAGACAGTGCTCACCGGGAAGTGGGTCTTTCGTGTGAAGACAAAGGCTGACGGCACCATTGACAAATTTAAAGCTCGCTGGGTTGTACGCGGCTTCGACCAAGAACACGGACGCGATTTCACCGGTTAGCCGTCACACCTCACTACGCATTCTCCTCGCCATCGCCGCCATGAA